TCTGCCTCTCCTTTTAGAACTGCACTGCAGGGTCAATGAAAAGCCACAGCCGATGAGAGAGAGTTCTTCTTTGCTCAAGTCCATGTAATACGTGCCGAAGATGTTACAGAATTAGAAAACTTTGCAAACTCTTATAAAATAATCGATTCAGGCTACAACCATCAATAAAGGGCACCAGAATCTTAGCCCCCATATGGCCTGGGGTTGCAGAGCTTCAGAGTCTCGGTGCTGGGTGAGCAGGTAACACAAGTGCCTGCTGGGATGCAGCAGGTGATGCAGGGCATCACTTAGAAAGGGCTCTGTTGGAAAGGTTTCCTCTGACTCTAACCAAGGCTCTGGTTCTAAGTCTCAGTTCCTAGGAACACAGAATCATATCACCCAACACCACAAAGCTGCAGCCAGACTCTACAGAAAGTGAGAAGGCCCAAGACATGCTGCTGACCTCTGCCCCCATCCCCCATGGGTGTGTGTGTGCCCAGGAGATACACCACCTAGCTAAGTGGACTGTGGGGCTCACTGGGATTAAATGTTTTGGAGAAAACAGAAGGATCTGACTAAAGGAATAAGAACGCACAGACAAGACTATGCAGTAAGTATATGGGGTTCACTAGTCTATTCTACTTTTCTGAATGTTTGAAAGTTTCCATAACTAAAATTTTTTAATTGTTTTATACCAAATAATCTTACAGAAATATTTGTTTATAATTATATTATTACCAATAGCACATATGAAATCAGTAATTTATCAAAAAGTAAGGTTTACTTATAGACACTTCCATGGACCAAGGGCAGTGCTTAAAGGTTTGCATGTCCTGTGTCAACTAGTTCTAAGAAGTAGTCACCATCACAGCCATCTCATTCCACAGGTAATAAGGCTGGGACATAGCAGTTAGACAACGGTGGCCCTGGACTGTCCTCCAGTGATTACTTCAAAGACTGTTTGTGACCACCATGCCGTGCCGGCCCAGTTATCTCGTAGACATTTATGGTGAGTGTCCAAGTAAATCAGACAGAAACTTTAGCAAAGAGTCTTACTTAGACTCCTGTATTTCTTAGACAAACATTTTTTTGCTAAGTGTGGGAACGGCTATGTCACTAGTGTAAGAATACAAACAGGTCAACTCTTAACGACCCACCATTCAACTTTGAAATTGTAATATCACCTGGCGTTGCTTGGGTGATAGTGAGTAGCATGAAACTGTTTAAGTTGCTCCCATGTGAGTTCAGGGATGCACAACGGATCACCACCAGAGATCACTGAGTAAGTATGGTCAGGAAGAAGTCTGTTCTGAAGGTGCTGTGAGAATATCCTCTCGTTATCTGTCTTGAAATTTAAAATAAATAAATTAACAGCATTGTGTGTGTCCATGTGTGCATAATACATACATACATTATTACACTGCAATACAACAAAATAATCATGTACACCCTTAACACCCTACTAATAAAACAAAGCAGACAAAGACACCTATGTAGTTATCATTTAAAGCGACATTCCATTTATTCCTAATCTGTGCATGGGTTTCAGGACTGTCTCACTCAGAAGAGAACACCTTTCTTTTCAGTATGTGTTGGGTGGACAACAATCACACAACTTTGAAGGCAAGAAGAAGGGCTTGGTGCAATACCTATGAATACAGTAGGATTCCTTTTGGGAGGAACCTTAAGTTTCAAAAAGGTGTCTTAGAAGAAATGACACCCAAATGGGTAAGAACGGGTAAGATATAATGCTCTAAAAGGAAGAGGCCACAGGAGTCACGAAGTAGCATGGTGCATGCAAGCCACCCCTTGCACTTCAGACACCAGGACAGACCAGAATAGGTCCTCAGAGTTAAGGGGACGTGACGGCACAGGTCCAACAACGCAGTTCTCAAACCAAATAGGTCTCAAGAGCTCCTTAAACTGCCAGAAATCATAAGGTCCTCAAAGAGCTTGGGATAATTCTGGGTAGGTGTGTGTATCGGTATGTGCATATATGAGGTTATGATGGTTTAAAAAGCTACTGTTCATTTATAAACTCTTAATAACATGTTAACGAAATAGTTTTTGAAATATACATTTCATAACAAAACAAGAAAAATTACTGAGAAACAGTAGCACTATGTTGCATTTCCTACTTCTCCTATCTGCTTCTGGGTGCAGGAGCTGGGGATAACACACATGCATTCATTGTGCCATGAGCCTCTGGGAAAATCATTGTAGACCTGGGCAAGAGTGAGACTGCAAAAAGACCCCATCTTAGCAGTCATCTGAAAATAGTTCATGTGCAGTCCTCCTGTAGATCATGGCCCAGGGCTCCTCAGACAAGACCTGAGAACCACTAGTTCAGAGGTGCTACAGTGAACAGCAGCCTGTCCCTTCTATCAGCGATGGATTCTGTTCACAGCACTGACCTGGCTAATCCAAGAAGTCATTAGATAATACATAAATATTAAACAGAATAAGTGAATGTCAGCTATCTTCCAACCATACCAACATATAATATTTTCAGACACATCATTTAACATAACACAAAGAGGTAAAACACTTACAAATGCCCCCTTCATCTCATTAAAGACAACTCCTTTGAAGATGAAGGGTGTGTTGGGGTCACTGGGATTCTCATGTTCTAGTCGCCAGCCTTCCTGCCTAAGGGATAACAAACAATTCTAAGAGGACAGCGATTCTAATACTAAAGTTTAAATCACAGCATTAATCATAACATACCAGAAATCTAATTCTCGCAAGCATGGAAAAAATGTTGCATCCAAATACACCGAGAGGAGATTCTGAAAATCCTTATGATTTTGCGTGGAGAATGGATACAGGGTATAATCGCTAGCTGGGTACAAATGGAAAATAAGATGTTAAAATACAACAGGTTTCTACAAAATTACTTGCAAGCCTCGTCTCGCTGTAACAGTGGGCTTTCACCATCGGCAGAACAGAAGTGGCAATCCCATACTAGAGGACCGTGCCTCAGCTCCTACCTCTGCTCTTCACTCTGACTATCAGGTTTCCCAGACCCACTTCGGGATCTGCACTCACAGGAAAGAGCATGTGTTCTCCCATGAATATTTTATATCAGGTTTCCCTCAAGACTTTCACATGCCAAGAGAGACAACCCCATCCTGTAAGAGCCCTGACTTCATCAGCTCCTCGATGGCACTTCTTCATAGAATGCTTTGTTCACACCAGCAGCCTATCCAATACCCTCGGATTTGCTAACAGTAAAACTTGAGCAATATTGGTATTGATAATAAGAGTACAGAGAACTGATGCAGCAACATTCCCAAAAGAAAATTCCATCTTAAATTTTTCCAGAAAAAATTCAAATATCTTTTCCTAAAACTGCAGTTTTTATAACCTGACCATGATATGTGACTTTCCTAAACTATTATATTTCTATCATCTTTCACCTAGACTAGAGATGGGTAAAAATTTATTCTAGAACATTTATAAACTGTTACCCACCACTGTTTTCTTAGAAACTAAAGATTTAGGCAGCTGTGTTTCGCAAATCCCAAAGTGCATTTGCCCCTGACATCAGTCTTACCTGTGAAGGCGTTCATAAAGGTAGACAAGGACCTGTTGAGCATTTTGAAGAAAGGATCTCGACATGGGTATTTCTTAGAACCACACAGGACTGTATGCTCAAGAATATGAGGAACACCAGTACTATCCAAGGGCGTGGTGCGAAACTGCACACTATGGCAAAGCAAAGGGGACAAAAGAAATCAGAAAGGTGAAGCGTAATACTGCCCAATAGGGTTCCAAGACATATTATCAACCTCGATTATCAGAAATAATCATTTTAACCTTATAATAAAATGGTTTCTGGCTAAAATGTATGAAATCGCTTAGATTATAAAATTTGATTCAGATGAGAAAACAAAGTCATGTAATCTTTTTTGAAAATATTTTTGGGATGTTCTCTCAGTTAAAAACAAAATATTAATGAGCTAGTGAAGTTCCTCACATATTGCACATGTTTTAAATGGAAGCCATTGATATGTGTTCTCTCAATGCACCGAGTACCTGAACAAATTATTGGTGTCATCTCTGGCCAGGTGTAAATATCTAGCTCCTGTGTTGTCATGGCTGAGCTTCACTGCGGTGAGGAACAGTTCAGGAACAGATGTTACCTGAGTTAAGAGGAAAATGTGAGCAATTAAACATAGATGACATTCAAAATGGTTACCTTAAACAAAACAATACCAAGAAGCCAGAATTTCAGAGTGCAAGGGGAAGAACAATCTTGACCAAATCCTGTATCTTAAGAAAGGATGAAGACCTACAAAAGGCTAGTGAGGATGCACAGGTTTTTTTTTTTTTTTCTTTTGAGTGCTTACTATTTATGAGGCATTCTTTCAACTTGTCACAAACCTGGGAGAGAGAAGGTATTCTCGTCCTCATTTACATATGAATGGTTCATAGGTTCAGTGTGATGAAATAAGCTGCCCAGAACACAGGTAGTCAGAGCCCACTCTGGTGGCTGCCGCGTCCCATTACACAATGCTGCCTGGACAGTGCTGTCTAGCCTGTGCATCTCTGCTTTGTGTCTCTTCCTTGCATACACATCATCTCATTGAATGTTCAGAACAACCCTGCACTAAGGGTAAATGCTGCAGAGGGCCTCAGCCTGTGACAAAGAAAGGGTGCTCCTAGGAATAAACTATGTTTCTCTAGTTTAGGAAGAGTTCCCAGTGGTGACCTGTGGTTGTTACCAGTCACCTGTCTCTCATGGTTGGATTATCATGTACATAGCCAGGGCAGTCTGGGGCTGGAAGGGTATAAACACCCCCATTAAAAATAAATGAAACCTCACTTCTGGGAATGTGGAGGTATCATCTTCTCTCTTAAGTAAGCCTCCACGTACATGTCCACAGTGTATGGTATTAAAGCGGTTGTATCCCAACTACACCAACGGCCTTCTCCCTCAATCACATGCCTTATCACTGTGATAATGACATCAGTGATTCTTGTCCACTCTGTTCAGGAGCCATGAAAGTACGTGCCTTCATTTACACAGCAAGTTACCAGGAACAATGAGATCAGGACTCAGGTCTTGTGAGCCCAATCTAGGGGCCTCAGCATATAACAATGTGCATTAGTCCTTCACTAACACCTGCACAGTTTATAACTGTTAAATTACTTGTTTCCAAGTTTGCTGTACTTTGTAACGGGTGATAGATGTATGTGAAGTCAGTAAAACATCTGCTTAATAACAACTGTGGCTACTATTTCTCAAAGAAGAATGGTTTATCACAAAATAAATTTATTTATATATATATATATATATATAAAACCCTCGAATCTGCACAAGCTCATTACTACTT